GAGTGGGTGGGTGGGTGAGTCGATTGAGTGGGTGGGTGAGTCGATTAAGTGAGTGGGTGGGTGAGTCGATTGAGTGGGTGGGTGGGTGAGTCGATTAAGTGAGTGGGTGGATGAGTCGATTGAGTGAGTGGGTGGGTGAGTCGATTGAGTGGGTGGGTGGGTGAGTCGATTGAGTGAGTGGGTGGATGAGTCGATTGAGTGAGTGGGTGGTAGAGTCGATTAAGTGAGTTGGTGGGTTAGTCAAATTATTGGGTCGGTGGGTGAGTTGACCGAGTGAGTAGGTGGGTGAGTCGACTCAGTGGGTGGGTGGGCGAGTAGCTGAGCGAGTGTCTGAGCGGTAGTGTCGTGGCAACTGAAAACAGAGCGTGGAACCGAAACGTCAGACATCGTGGCGAACCGAAAAGGGTTGTATCTAAGAGGGTGTTTTCGCTCGAGCGACGAATCTCCCAAATCTGTAAGAACATCGGTTGAGGGTAAATCTCTACCCGGGCGCCTCTGCGCCTACCCACGAGCGAAGATAATATACAATGTATTTATATATAGCGTCCTTCATGCAGATTCCATCTCGCAATCGCTAAGTAGGAACCACAGACCAAGCTGAAAGGCTGCCAAGCGGTGATCCGGCACCACCAACAATTGCTCTGCAGTTCTCTACATATTAAGATGTTTTCAGCCAGTTCGTGACGAGCGTTCATCACACACGTGGCTAAGAGACCGGAGGGCCCGGGAAGAGGCGACGCATGCGAGGGCGCAGCACTATATCCCGCGCAGAATGAACAGGTGACTTCAGTGCGCGCGTCGCTGTGCCGCATTCTGCCGGCATACGTAAGGCACGGCTCCTCTTCGATGCCCACGGGCAAGGGAGTCTAGCAACACGACGTTACATCGAGCGCGGTGATCCACCAACCCCTCGCTGCTGCCTCCATAGTGGTGGATTGCAGGAAGATTGCGTGCATACCGCCAGCGTCTGCGCTGAGTTGCGCGCGTGGCACGCGTTGCACTGGTCTTATTTACACAGAGACTGCTCGTAAATTGGCCCCGCATACAATACGCGGCACTGGTTGATGTTGTTGTTGTTGTGAAGCTACGATGGATGAAAAGGAGTTCGCCGGTCGTTTAGTCCCGGTCGAGGCTTTTGATGGCAGACGATACGAGCCCTTTGGTTTGTATTTCACACGACCGTGCTGCTGTTACCTTCTCCCGGATTCTCCTCGCTGAACGGCGTTCGCGCCGCGCGCTTTGAAACTCCCTCCGTTGGCGAACAAACACGCGCGTCGGGTATCGTAAAAAAAAAACAGTTTAAATATTGAACAAGACACCCGGGATAGTTCTGAATGTACTTTGGAATTATTTGTAGCTCGCAGCTCTTCAAACGATAGTTTTCTCTCTCTCTCTGGTTGCTCTCTGTACGTCCACGTGGGGAGCGGCGGTGCGATGGTTAGCGCACTGCGCCACGAACCCAGCGACCCGGATTCGTTGCACGTCCGCGGCCGGTACCAGTCCCGAACATTTGAAACTGTCCCTGGCGCTTCCCCGAGGCACGATTCAGCCATAAAAAAAAATATGTGCCCATGGTGCGGTGTGTAAACGTCACCGTCGAAGACACAACGACGTGGTTCTGGCCACCTCGTGTGCCGTGCCGACTTTTGATCGGCGATCGCTAACAGCACTTGCCACAAAAGCCCGTGTATGCTTACACTGAGCGACGGGAGCAAGCGGAGGAGGGGACAGGGTGGTATCTTTAGCTTTTTCTTCATCTTGATATCATGTCACAGCATCCCCGACGTCTCCACGGCCAACCACCCTTCCAGCATTCGCGTGGCAGCAGCCACTGGAGTGCGTGTTCCCAACACAACGCCAATTAGTGTACAATTCTAAATGTTACACGTGGCCGGCAATTAGAGGGAGCGGCGCGGACGTCAGACCCGCGACCCTCGCGCTCTCTCTCTCTCTGCCAGCCGGAATCGCGCTTTTCTGATATTCGAGATAAATGCCACGAGTCCATTTACTTGCCAAAGCCAATAACTTTGGCGCCACTGAGGTCAATGCGCACCACTTCCCCACCCCCCTCCTCTTCCCCACAGCGCTATCCCTTCCCCGTGCCTCGAGGCTCACGTTCACATCCAACACTGCCTTCACAATGCAAGTGAGGTTTGCCCGCGTGGGGCTTTTCCTGCGCGTTGAACAACTCCTCCCGTCAAGCCTTCGCCGTGCACTGCTGGCGGGCGTCTTCGGGAGTTGTGTTCTAGCACCGCAGCATCGCGATGTACAACCGTGGTGTGTGTGTGTGGCGGAGGAGGAGGAGGGAGGGGGGCGGTGAAGGAGGGGGAGGGTGAGGACGGTGATGATGAAGGGGATGAGGCAAAGGAGGAATAGGCTCAGGCAGAGGAGGAAACACGGGAGGGAAAGGCTTAGAAAATGGGGGGGCGGGGAAAGGAGAGAGGGTGCGGAGGGAGTAGGAAGAGGATAAGGCGGAGGAAGAATCGGAGGAGGAGGTGAAGGAAAGGTGTGGGGGGGGGAGGATGACGTGGGAAAGAGGAGGTGGATAAGTTGTAGAAGAAAGAGGAGGAGGCGGCGGCGGTGTTGTGACGAGGGTTGATTCCGCGGCACGCGTTGCCCGGTCCCCGCGTGCGTAATTTGCGTGACCGCCAACAGCCGCCGGTGCCGCGCTGCTGCGCGCCTGATGCATCATGCGCCGCTGCTGCGGCCAGGGAGGAGACGATTGTTGTGGGAGCAGCGAAGGTGTGGGGGGGGGGGGTTGGTGGGTGGGAGACCGGGGGTGGGGGGGGGGGCACCGATCCTGTAGGGCTGATGCTGAGAGATGGCGAAGCTCACAGGAGGGGGGGGGGGCGCACCATCGATCAGCCGCGAGCCCTCGAACCCGCCAGCTAATTGAGGGGACGTTAATGGAGCTTTGAATGCGGGCGAAATTCATCAGCTCGGCATGGGCTTAATGGCAGGGCTGTCGGGACGGGACCGGGGTGGGAGGGGTTGGGGGGGGGGGGAAGGGGGAGGGGCGAGGGGCAGCCGTCGATTCGGCTGACGAGCCCTCGGTCCTGACCAAATCAATAACGAGGGGAGGGTGGGGGGGGGGCTTTGTGGGTGGGATGTGAAGAGGTTCGTGAGGATCGCGGGCTTGGGTAGTGGGGTGGTGGTGAGGGTGGGGGGGGAGTTGGGGGGGGTTGCGCTGCTTCCTGGGGGGGGGGGGGAGGGGGCGGTCAGGGTGGAGGACATTCAAGGGGGCGCGCCCAGGGGGAGGCTGCGAGTCTGGTAATGAGAAGGGTTGTTAAGTGAGTCACCTCGGCACAAGAAATCATCTAACATTTTGCAATTAATAATTCCTCCCCCCTCGGGAAATTTATGGCGCCCTCGGGGGGTGGGGGGGGGGGGAAGGGGGCGAGGGGTGGGGTGGATGGGGTGGCGTGGGGGCATTGGGGGGGGCGCTACCCCTGACCGGGGGCTACCTCCACCTGAGTGTGGGGGGTGGGGTGGAAAAATTGGTGGCCTCCACGTCTCACCCTCCCCTGAGTCCCTCGCCGGCAATCCCCCTCCACCCCTCCCCTCCCCCCTCACCCCACTGATCAAGGCGCGGCAAATCTCTCCAATGCGAACTGCGTGGCTCCTCGCTCCTCGCGGCGGCGCCGTGAACGACTCCTCCGCGGCATTACATTCGGCCCTGTGGTCTGACGTTTCGCGCCGAGTGCCGGGAGCTTCTTCAGCGGCACAAATCTGACTCCCCTGCGTGACAACCAAATTCTCGTCTCTGCAGAGCAGGCGAGAGTGCGAGGATTACTCGAAGGTATCCGTCTCGGAAGTAGTTCTGTGATGACTCCTTCCCCGCGGGCTGTTCCCTCTCGACACTCCGCCTTGTAATGCATTGCACCGCCTGTTGAGCTGCGAACAGCTGACGACCACTGCCATGCCGTGTACACGGCCCTTGCGAGACAACTGCATTCAGTTCCCGTGGAAGCATCGCGCCTGGCGCGTGAATGGTGCGAAACGTCGGACATCGTGCCGCAAAGAAACACACAGAGATGTACTAAACTATAAACTATTGTTTTTTTATGATTTTACCAGGTAAGGCCCACTGAGCTATATATGCTCTTTTTTATATAAAGCGGCTGGCCACACATTATTGCTCGACGAAGTTGGTTGATCATCAAGTGGAAATTTAGAGCAGCCAAAGACTCTAAACGCGTGGTGATGTTGTTGATCATAAACGTGGAGCGAAAAAAACGGAGGGCCCTGAGAAAATTCCACGCGACCGCGGAGAGAGAGACACGCAAACTCCAAATATACAGCGGCAGGCGTCGGGATTGAACCGACTCCTTGTACACCAGGCGAGGGATTTAACATCTCGGGAGTTAGGAAATACATCGCGGGGGGTGATGAATAATAGGGAATCACTCGCGTTATTCACCTGCACCGCCCGGTTAATCCGCGTGTGTGCCTCTCATGACGGAGCTGATAAGCCGAGTCCCGAGGAGTCGCAAGGTAACCAGGGCAGGTCGTGTTCAGGGGTCAACAATCGCACAGAATAGTTATCCAGTCATTCGTTAATCACCAATCAGCGATGGACCAGCGTGGCGAAGTATGGTCAATTAACCGGCCCCGCCTCCCCCGCAGGAGACCCTCATCCCGGCAGTGGATTGCCCAAAGGGTCTTGCTACATTGCGAGATGCTTGGCCCAAATTCCTTTGTTTATTTTAAGGCCTGCACGGCACACGAGGGGGTGGGTGGCCAACAACACTCTCGGCCGCCTTTGTCTCCCCAGTGGCGATGTTTACTACACACCGCAGTGGGTATTCTTTCGAGGCTGAGTCGACCTAAAACCTTCTAACGTGCACACCCACATTCCTTCTTTACCCTCCCCCACTCCCCCGTGTCCCGCCACCACAGCCCGGTGCAGTTGTACCGCCTGCACACTCGACAGTAGAGAACCCCTCCCCCCCTCTATGTTGCTCGTGTGAATGACACTGCGCGTGTCCTGTAACCCGCAGGTTGGAAGCTGAACCCAGTGGTGAGCGCGGTCTATGGCCCAGAGATCTATGCAGGTGAGCCGCTCACCATGTCACCCACACCCACACCAATGCGCCGTGAGGGTTTGAAACGGCATGTGCGGAAGCTTCATCCAGCAGTGGATAGACAGCGGCTGCTGCAGCTGCTGCTGATGATGATAACCATGAAAGTACTCAGCCTTCGTGCATTATGCTAAAAAAAAAACATCCATCTGTATTTCCTGAATATGTGCGGTGTGGTCGTCTCGTCTTGTTAGGTTAATGCGATTCTTCAGGAACTGCTGATTGCTTTTTGCATAATGCAAACAGGCTCAGTGCTTTGTGGACACGTGCCTGTGCGTTGTTGCTGCTGTTGTTGTTGCTTGGAACGCGTGGTTTTACGGCCTACACGCCGTTTTTTCCTTGCGCACGATGGCAGCCAAACGTTCACGAGCTGAATGTCGACGTGGAGGTCTTCTGTGGCTGCTGGTCACAACGAGAGGGCTTCAGGAGAGTGAGTTCGTGTGGTTTTGCTGTTCCTTCTCCTCCTCCGTTGAAGGAGCGCAGACTACGGTGGTTTTAGAATATATACAAAACATTGTTTGGCTTCTTTTGTATATACTGTATTTGTTTAGCGATTTGCTTACCTATGCTTTACTTTCCACGCCAATCGTACGTATGTTTGTATTGTTGTTTTGTTGTAACGTTCTGACCCGCCCCTACTGGGCAACTGTGAAAAAGAGCTTCATAGCTCATCGGATTCTTCCAGTAGAAATACATATTCTGATTCTGCCTTACTGTATGGTGCACAGTTTGTGTTGCATGGCCACAATCTCACGACTGTGACTTATCTTTAGTGCGTCTTAAAGCGTCGCATTGTATCTCTGTGAGTCTATGCACACTACGTATCTCTATGGGTCTCTGTATATCTCTATGGATCTCTGGCGTCTATGCATCTCCATGTGCACATATGCACGTCGGTGTATCTGCGGGGTTTATATATAGTCCATAGTGTGGCTTGCGTGGCCACGATCGGGCCATTGCTGCTTGTGACTTTAACGTGCCACGTACGGAGGCGATGTGGTGCCCATCGACCTGCTAGTGATGTTCTGACGAGGTCGATGGTCATACCGGTCGCCCCGAGGAGGAGTTTCGAAGGGAGTAGGAAGGTGTAATGATGTTTGGGTCCCGAACGAGGCGGTTTTTTGTGTCTCCCTTCTTTTTTTCTGAAAGACCACATGGATTCACTCTGTTCGCGCAGCAGCAGCAGCGTTCTTCCGGATCTGGGTGAGATTCTAGGATTGTGGCAGCAGCGGCAGCGCGATCCCAGAATGGGGGGGGGAGGGGGAGTCGAGGTTCGAGTTGGCAGCGAGATGATACTGTTGAGATCGTGGCAGATGATGGTTGGTCGGTGTTTGTCATTGTTACGCTGGGGTTTTTTTTTGGTCTCATAATTGACAGATTTGATGATGATGATGATTAATTAAATTTTGGGAAATGTCACTCAAGTGATCACGCTCGCATGACGTTGAAAGAAACTGCCAAAACCGTATTGGTCTGGCGATGTGCCGCACGATTTAGCCAAAAGGAACAAAACGGATGAAAGCCTTTTACCAACGACTCGCGGTCCCTGGCACAAGACGTCGCAGGCTGCACCACGCCTCGAGCGGCTCATGGGGGGGGGGGGGGGGTCGGTGCCTTGGTGGGAGGGGAGGTCCCCGAGCAGAGTGCGGACTGCTCGCTCCGAGTGTTTATTTTCGTCAAAATCCACCCTCCAGTGGGAGGGGGGGGGGCTCTTAAGGGCTCCCTCGAGTGGAGGCCCCTTACGCCAGCAGTGGCGTGGGCGAGCAATTGCAGTGCTGCGCCTTTACCTTCTACCATCCGAAATCTCCTCGCCGGAGCCTCCGTGGTTCGTGGTTGTCGGTTAAGTGGGGTGCTTGGTGGAGCGGTTGTGGCGGTGGAGATCAGGTTGTGTGTGATTGTGGCATGGCGGAGGTTGCGTGAGGTTGTGGGGTGGTTTTGGGATGGTGTGATTGTGGTGTTGTGGTTGTGGTGTGTTGGGCGATGATCGCGCGGTTGTGATGCTGTTGTGGCATTGTTGTGATGCAGTTGTGCGGTTTCGTGGTGGAGTGGTTGGTGGTGGTGGTTGGTGGTGGTGGTGGTGGTTGGTTGGTGGTGGTAGATGATGGTTGGTGGTGGTAGTTGGTGGTGGTTGGTGGTTGGTGGTGGTGGTGGTTGATGGTGGTGGTGGTAGTTGGTGGTGGTTGGTGGTGGTGGTTGGTGGTGGTAGTTGGTGGTGGTAGTTGGTGGTGGTTGGTGGTGGTGGTGGTTGATGGTGGTGGTAGTAGTAGTAGTGAGTACTCCGCCCATTTGCCCGATAATGGAAACGAGCGCGAGACCACGGCGGCTTTGGCATCCGAATTCGCTGACACAGCGAAGTAAAAGCCCCCTCCCCATCCCCCCCACTTCATTCCTTCACAGAAAAAGTCAACGGACGATGTCGGGCCACGGACAGCGGGAAGGCACTCGCTTTAATGCCTTAATGTACTGTGTGGCTTTCTTATAAAATTGATCTGGCCGCCGGTTTTTTGTTCAGTTGTTTTGTTTTTCTGCTGACTTGAGGCTTACACACGCGCGCGCGCACCACGCATGCACGGACGCGCGCACCACGCACGCGCAAAAACAAATCCGGTGCCTGAAAACACCGCGCGTCTTTTAAACTCGGGGAAGGGAAACAACAACAGCTGCAACAACGACAACAAAAAGGAGCAAGGAGTGCGCCAATTGTGATTGTGTAAATGGTACAGGAGGTACAGGCTCTGGGTTTTCGGAGCGAGCAACTCGCACATCAGAAGACTGTGAAATTAAATCCATGGTTTGGGTGACGTTGGGGGGGAGGGATTGGAGGAAGGGTGTTGACTCAGCCCCATCATTCCTAACTTCTTCCGAAGTCAATAAAATGAGTACTACATTTAGGGGAAGTCAATGGCAGTTGTCTTTTGGAATCTCTCTTCCCCGCCATAGGAATGTAGAATGTTTCACCACTCGCTCTGCAGGCCTGTAAACAAGAGATGTACAGTACGTTGAACATCTTTCGCACCGTACGTAGCCAATCGTGCTCATCGGAGGTGTGGGGGAAGAACAACAAACTAAATACAAAAAGCAGTTGTCAAGAAATGCGTTTTCAATCGGGATTTAAAATGCATAGCTCCAGTGGCTTCCTAATATCGGAAGGAAGAGCATTCCAGACGGCCGCAGAAGGGCATCTGAAAGCGCCGCGCGATGCGGTGACCGCTGTCTTTGTTCGATAGTAGCCAAAAGCCGCTGCGAGGATGATCGGAGTTTGCGGGATGGTTTATGGTTAGAGCAAATACCGGTGTCTAGTTAGCGAGTAAAGCTAGAGCTAATACCAGTGGCTAGTGAACTAGTGTGGCTATGGCTAGGGCTAATACCGGGGCTAGTTAGCGAGTGTGGCTATGGCTATGGCTAGGGCCAGTGTCTAGTTAGCGAGTGTGGCTATGACTAGTACCAGTGTCTAGTTAGCGAGTGTGGCTATGGCTAGGGCTGTACCAGTGACTAGTTAGCTAGTGTGGCTATGGCTAGGGCTAATACCGGGGCTAGTTAGCGAGTGTGGCTATGGCTAGGGCTGTACCAGTGACTAGTTAGCTAGTGTGGCTATGGCTATGGCTAGTACAGTGTCTAGTTAGCGAGTGTGGCTATGGCTATGGCTAATACCGGGGCTAGTTAGTGAGTGTGGCTATGGCTATGGCTAGCACCAGTGTCTAGTTAGCTAGTGTGGCTATGGCTATGGCTAGTACCAGTGTCTAGTTAGTGAGTGTGGCTATGACTATGACTAGTACCAGTGTCTAGTTAGTGAATGTGGCTATGGCTAGTACCAGTGTCTAGTTAGTGAGTGTGGTTATGGCTAGAGCTAGTACCAGTGTCTAGTTAGTGAGTGTGGCTATGGCTATGGCTAGTACCAGTGTCTAGTTAGTGAGTGTGGCTATGGCTATGGCTAGTACCAGTGTCTAGTTAGCTAGTGTGGCTATGGCTATGGCTAGTACCAGTGTCTAGTTAGTGAGTGTGGCTATGGCTATGACTAGTACCAGTGTCAAGTTAGTGAATGTGGCTATGGCTATGACTAGTACCAGTGTCTAGTTAGTGAGTGTGGTTATGGCTAGAGCTAGTACCAGTGTCTAGTTAGTGAGTGTGGCTATGGCTATGGCTAGCACCAGTGTCTAGTTAGTGAGTGTGGCTATGGATATGGCTAGTACCAGTGTCTAGTTAGTGAGTGTGGCTATAGCTAGCACCACTGTCTAGTTAGCTAGTATAGTTCGAGCTAGGGCTAATGACAGTGGCTCGTTGGCTAGTGTGGCTATGGCTAGAGCTAATACGAGCGGTTACTTAGATAGTGTGGCTATGGCTGGGGTTAGTGCCAATGGCTAGTTATCTGTTAGGTTTAGGCTTACTGCCATCATCATCATCATCGACAGCCATGGTCGCCTGGTCCGTGAGCCGCTGTGGAGAGGCGGGCGCCGTTGTTGTGGTGGTGTGCTGCGAGCGGCGCTCGTCGGTTCATTACAAACACCCGGGGAGAAAACAGCTCCCTCCTTGTGCCATCTCACAAGGCGTCTTCGAGGTCGCCTCGCTCCACTCACATCCTCCCCCCCCCGTTCTCGTGGAGATGCTGCGGTGGTGGCGGCTGCGGCTTACGCTGCACGTGGCTCGTGACATCCAGCGCCCTGGAGGCGGCAGCAGCAGCAGCGAGGGTTGGTGGTTCACCGCACGCGAATGTTGCGACGAGAAGGCGGCCTTGTAACAATGGCTTGCAAAACAAAGTGCAGCCTAATCTCCGTCGGTCCCTGCTGTGCGGGGATAGCGCGTTGCCCCCTCTCCGAGTGCTCCGGGCTCTTCCCACGTGTGTAAACTCTTATTATATATACACACACACACTGAGGAACGCCGAGCTTGGGCAATTGCTGCTAGCGCCGGGTCACTGCCGGGATGCCGCTGATGCTGCTGCTGCTGCCTTCCAGCTGCGTCTGTGGTTCACCGGC